GCAGATACGTAACAATACTTTAAAAAAATACGGTTTAAACTCTGAAACCGACGAACTATTGGAAACTAATAAGTCTAAAATTTTTTATAAAAATCATGTTCTGAAATGCTATTTTCACGAAACTCTGATTTTGAACCGCAATCGACAAATTAAGAGGAATATGAAAAAAAAAATCTTCAGCTAACTTGATTCTTATAACAATTTTTAGGCCTATTTGTTACCAATAATTAACTGCCTTTCGGCGTTTAAACCGAGTACTTAAATATCATTTTTGTATAGAAGAAAGGAAAGTTGTCACGTTTCATATATTTGTTTCAGCGCAAAGCTACACAATGGGCTATTTGCCCGCTGACTACTGCAGGAAATCGAGCCTCGGATTTTAGCATTGCAAGTCCGTAAACTTACAGCTGACTCACCGAGGATGAGTTTCGCATGACACAGAAATTAAAATAATTTTATTTACAAAGTTTTCATCTCGTTTATATCTTGTTTTAAAAACACTAAGGAAAATGTGCAGAGCTTCTAAGAAGCTAATTGTTTTGTACTAACTTCAATAAAGACTTAAATACAAGGACAATGTTCTAAACGCATTTGTTTGATAACAGATACTTGGGACTGTTGTTCTTACTTTCTATTCCTATACACATCACCCCCTTCAATCCCGGTGGCTCAGCCAGTAGACTTACAACATTAAAAATTCGATACCCGTGGAGAGCAGAATACATTTTGTGCTATACAGCAAGTAAATGAACTATTTCTATGGTTATTTTCGAAATGAAAGATTTCTAACCTTTCTAAATATATTTTGACCTTTATATTTTAAGCTTCTAATACGGTTTCTTTGGGAATTTAAATTTAGAAAAAAAGCTTGATACTACAAAAACGCTTTTAATTAAATTGAAGAATAGAAACACGATTCGTACATTCAGTCAAAGTTTTATTCATATTTAAGTTTTGTTAGAATTGTAAATGAAATAACTAAAGATATAAACATCAGATCATGTTGTAGTTTCAAGCTAAATTTTAATTTGCCTAATAACCATTTCATTATTAAAACTACCGATATAGAATGATATATAAATACCAGTATCATATATTGAATATAATGTTAAGTGAAGAAGTATCCCAAAGGGTTTACTGAAAAGAACAGCAGATAAAAAAATCAAGAAGAAAAATGTAGAGGATGTCTTTGATTTAAAAAAAATCATTAAACCATTTGAAATGCTTTTTAATACACATGCTTTCTTATTTTATAATTTTAGTGAGTTTGCTGAAATTTAACTTATTATTTTAATCTAAAGGTTGTATTTGGAGTTAAAACGCAGTATTTTTATCAATAAATTCAATAACAACTAATGAAGTGATATACAGGGTGTCCTAAAAGTCCAGAACCATAGTTGATTCGCACATTTTCTTAATTTCAGATACGTGACTGATTATGGCGCTGTCAAAGCAGGATAAGGTCGAGTTAATCCTGCCGTCAATCCAGACTTGTTTCGAATTAGAAGAGCAGCATGTGGAACACATTTTGTAAAAGTTGTTAAAATGCCTATGGTTTCAGACTCCTCGGATACCCTGCAGGTTGGTGGTTGGTCCTAATAAACACCACAAAGAAGCATATTACATTAATTTCTATAGTGAATTACACGAATAAAAAATAATAATATTACCTTAGCCAGGGTAGCAGACTTTCTGGACTTGACACCTTTTAGTCTTAAGCACCTGTCAACCAACGTGGTGTATCAAGTGTACTTGTCTTTGTTCAGAACAAAGAATTTTCTGGAAACTAGTTACAATATATATGCTTAGTAGTCAAGTAGGTTAATTACGAATAGTATATATCCTTGTGTAACGCTAAGAAATTTGAAAGTTTTGTTGGAATGAGTCTAGGCCTGTGACTATATCGAAACACATGGGGGTTATAGTTTAAAACATAAATTTAACAAGGGGGTACAAAAGACTTTATCGAACATAAATATAGGTTTACTGTGGTGAGTAAAACACCATACAAATAACCTTATTTCATATCAATAAATATTTTTGCTGTGCTTCTTTGTGCCCGAATCCCAAAAAATCAGGTACTCATGCTCTTGTAATAATTTTATTTTCATTCATAATTTCGTTGTATTCACTGTAGAGTATACTATACCAAGTTTACATACATGTACATCTTCGGGCCTTTAACGTTTTAATTATGACTACATTAGTTAACTGAAAATTTTTGAAAGATCATAACGATGAATGCAATTTCAAAGACATATTTAATAATTAGATCAGACTTAGAACTTGATGTTCCTTGGGTTGGAAAATTTTTTATGAAGATTTACAAGTGTATTAACGTCCACTGGTACAAGGGTTTTGTCGATAGTTAATCAAAAATCCACGACTTATAAACTCGGTATTAGTTACAAATCTTGCAGTGAATGGACCGGTTGTTGTATCTGAAAAAAAGAAGAAGATAATTCAGAAATATTTATCTATCAATTATGTACCTTTTAATAATTATAAACTATAGATAGATGGGCAGGTGGGGGTACAACGATAGAAGAACTCCCAGCTAAAACTTCAAAAAACGCTCTTCTTTCACCTACGCCCAGATAAAAAATAATCATATTAATTACTCTGAAAGTTAACGCCCTCCAGTGGCACAGCGGTATGTCTGCGGACTTACGACGCTAGAAACCGGGTTTCGATACCCGTGGTGGACAGAGCGCAGATAGCCCATTGTGTAGCTTTGTGCATAACTACAAACAAAACAAACAAATTGAAAGTTAACTTCAATATATCATAATCCTTTTTTTTATCAGATACTTGGCATATTGGAACTTTGCATAATTTTGTAAGTTCGTGTAATATAACGTAAACAACAAACAAAACATACACACTAAACAAATTTCTTCAGCGCAGTGGAATCTAAACACAGATATCGTACAAAGCAGGTATCTAATTTGTTAACAAGTTCAGTATTGTAATAATTACACGAAACGCATTATCCAGCACAATATTTTAAACCAATATTTAGAAACCTGTAATGATAATACAAAAAATGTAATATGTACTAGATGTAAATACCAATCAAATATTTTACAGAAAGTTTTATCAAAAGATAGTAAAACAGAAGTTAGTGGTATTGCCTTTTTTATCTTTTATACCTTACAATTTTATGTAGCATTAAAATATAATTTTTTTATAACAAATGACCATATTATAAAAACAAACTCAATGAATCTTGTGAGCTCACAACAGGAGGACTGGTTTTTTGCAAGATCACCTATCAAAAGTGCTAAAGTTTTATAGCCTTTTTTAAATGTTATTTACCAAACGTTTTTGAACCTACATGCGTTAGACTAAGATGTTTATATTGTCTGTAAATTGCCAAAGAATAAAAAAATTCCAGGCCTTGAATATGCTGTTTCCATGCACAATCCGAAGTACGTTCCTTATTATTATTATTATTATATAGCCATGTGTTGACAAGAACTGATTTTCTAATACATTAAATGATACTCACCAATTATATCTTTATTCATATTTGCAGGGATATTATTTAGCAGTTTATCATTTAACCGTCCGCCACAGAGTCGGATGCTGGCCAGAATGATGTAGTCTGTCATACATTCTTGCATCCCTGCTCCAGCAGTCGTCAATTGCTGGTTTATTCCTCCAGCCCCCATTTGGATACCGAAGAAAGGATTCACTTGAACTTGTTGTTGTTGGTTTGGTGGAGGAATGAACTCAGGAAGAGAATAAGTCATTGTACAAAAGCCCACCTCTTTCCTGAAGCAGATGGTGTAATCCAGGTTATTAAAATAGCCTTGGTCATTAATCGCGATATCGGAGATATGGTTGAAACTTCTAAAAACACCCTGGACGCCTGTGTAGTATTGTAGACAATTAGGAGGCGCTGTCCAAAAAGAAATCATGTAAAATATAAAAAATTCCAATAGTGGTTGTATTATTTGTGGTTAACAAGCTAAATCAGACTAGTAGTTAACTTATATAGCAATTAATATGGTAGAAAACTATCAAAATGAAAATATTTTCTGGGTTAAATTTTACAGTAATTAATTAATCATTTAAGATAGAAAAATTTAGTTTGAAATTCTAGACGTCACCATGGTACCGATGGTATAATCTGTTTAAAATTTAATTCTAGTCAACAATATAGTATCGATCATAAATCACTGTTTTTAGTACAATTTTGGTAATTACTCTCGTGTGTCGCGAAATCCTAAATTGTCCAAATGTAATCCATTTGATCGTAATGTATATGCGTGTGATGTAAACAGACAATGTCCAAATTATGTACATCTTGTAAATTACGCATGTTGAATAAAATAATTTAGACAATATGTCATTTTTTTAATATTATAAAACTTTCATTCACTTCCTTTGAGTAGAGGAACGTATAATTTGGACGCGGGATAGAATATAGCAGCAAGCTTATATTAACATTATTTATAACTATGATATATAACTTAGTGTTTTGTGTTTTATGCAGTACTAGTTGGAGTACTCGTTTGTTACAAAGGATAGGAAAATTGTGCTTCTATGTATTTATTTTAACATAATAAACATTAAAAGTGCAATAAAAATACATAAAGGTACCAAAACTGAAAAGAAAGACTGTTTTCAAGAATTCTAACAACAGTGGTTACATAGTTCAGCTTTGGTAGTTATTAAAGGGGTTCAACCTGTATCACGGTTTCAAGTTTGGTGCTGATTGATCAAGAAATGTGGAAACGTATAAGGAACAGATACACACACACACATATTGACGTTTATTTATATAGATTGATAACACAATGTTCTCTTCTATGTGATTCTAATTATTACTTTATTGACATAATTTTACTACTTACCCCGGTCCCGACTGCCGCATCCAATCTGTGTGATTCTGATGTCAAAACTTCGAGTTCTGCTTCCTTGAGTAATCACGTTGAGTTGAATAGGTCCCTCTGTTCCAGAAACTTCGATGTAGACTGAAGGTAAAAATTAAGAGTTATAAAGATAGTTTTCAGACCCACTCGAAATTTCAATGAAATGGAGTTATTTGATATCAGGTTTTTAACATGAATTAAGTTGTGTTATAGGTTATTGTTTGGTGTAGTCATTAGAATTGTGTATCTGTCTGTTTTCAGTATTGTGTTTACTAGTTCGGAGTTTTGTTACGAACCAGTAACGTATAATCCAACCAGACTTTTAATACAATCACAAATCTATATTTGCTTTTCTAACTTTTAACTGCGTTGTTTTTTAATTTGTTTGCTTGGTAAAGTTTGACATTTAAATGCATTTATTAATACATCACAGCAACCTGTTTTTGTTTTTCTCCCTCTGAACTTTATAGAGGACGCTTCATTCGTTTTAGTAAAAAAAAAAATTAAAATTGCTGAGTGGTGATAATAGTGCTTAAAAAATATTTGTGGTGATAATGCTCAACAAAAATAATACTAGATGCCAATTTTACCTCAAAAACATATATGTATGTGATGAATCAGAGTTAACAAGCCCTATAGTATTTAGGTTTAGAAAAGAATGTTATTTTTAAAGCCTATATGCTGTCCACAGTGGCTCAGCGGTAAATTTGAATCTTATAACGTAAACAACAACAAAAAACAAACGAGTTACAACAGTGAAGAAGGGAGGACGAGGTCTAGATTGAACTTGACCCTCCCAGGTAGTCCACTATGACCTAAACACCGGCTCAGATAGAACGGGTTTCAACGACAGAAAGAGGTCTAGATTGAACTTGACCCTCTCAGGTAGTCCACTACGCCCTAAACACTGACTCAGATAGAACGGGTTTCAAAGAGAGGAAGAAATTCTGAATTGTACCTGCCCCTCCCAGGTCGCGCACAACGACTAAACACCGATTCAGACAAACAGTCGGGTTTCGACACTCGTGGCGGGCGCATTACAGATAGTCCATTATGTAGCTTTGTGCTTAACATCAAACAAACAAAAAATACTAGGTGTTCAGAGCAGCACTGAGCTCATAATAAATTAAAATGTACATATCTCAATAAATATACTTTCACAGTTTCAAATTATAGTACTCTATAAAAACAGAATATGTTAGAAGCTAAAACTATGAGAATATATATATATTAAAGTCTGTCAACAGTACTTAACTTTTAATTAGATATTTAAACTTACGATGTTGTCCTGTATTAAACCCACATAAAGGTGGAACAACACTATTTTGGCTTTGACCACTGATGACCAATCTATCATCGTTACACACGCCATTTGTGGGCTGACTAATATCGAAGGAAATGAAGTCTAGACGGAACTGGCAGACATTAAAATGAACCTTTCGTATGGAAGCCTGACACGTTCTAGCTTCATTGTAGCCACCGGGATAGTTTGGGTTCTGAAAATATGTTCCATTGTTGAAGCTGTTTCCGCCGCAGGATACTTCGACTGTCGAAGTAATAAAAAAATTAATTAATATTTGATGATGTTATAAAGTAAATATTAGAAAACCAAGTAAAGAAGTTATAACTGACTCACGATTTGTTTTTTATGATAATAATCATGTTACATGCACGGAAGGACGAAAGCATAAATAATCTTATTCAACACAGTTTGTTTATTCATACTAATCTTCAATAGTCTAGTTATCTCAGAAGAAAGCCTCCTAAAGGCTTAACTAAAGTTCAGGGCTCATAAAGCTAAAATCCGGGGTTCGATTCCACGTGGTGAACACAACGCACATAGCCCATTGTATAGATTTGCGCTTAACAAGGAACAACCGATATGAGCTTTTATTACCATAATGGGGACTGGAATGACAACTTCAGGAGGCAGTTTTCATAATCACCGCCCACAATTGTAGGACCTTATTTCTTTTTCTTTTGAGAGCAGTCACCTTCCTCCAACTGTGTGCAGGCAATGAAAGGTGATATAGATGTGGGACGTTGTGTGCTTGACATCTCGCTCTTTCATTGTATTCTATTTTTCTTCTCATCTTAATCCATTATCATTTATTCTTTAACATGAGGCTTGGTGAATAGGGTGTTAAGTTTAATATCCAGTGTATCTCCACCGCCATCTGGATCATACTTCCGCAGTCACCTCCATAGGCCATGACACATTTTGTATTTCCCACATTATAGCCTAGGCCCTAATGAGTTAATATATCTTGGTTATGCTGTGTTATATCTTTATTAAGGTTTGAATTGTGTTAAAAAATATTCACTTTCAATACAGGTTTTTAGCGTAGTTCTTTCTTTTAATGTAAATATTAACTGTTGAAATAATATTTAAGTTTATATTATATAGACTAGCAGAAACGCCATCCTATGGGCGGCTGTTTGTACTGATAACTACTTATCGTAGTATTCATACCTCACTGAAAAAAATTAGAAAAAAGTGAACATTTTCTTTAAAAAGGACTTTTCTGGGGACTTTACTGCACGGGAAAAGTGTTTAGATCGTGCTGATGTAAATTGTAATGTTTTTATACGTTAAAAATGGTAACCTTTATTGAAATGTACAGTTTTTTAAGATCCCCAATTTTTAATATTATTTACAAATTACATCAATAAAGATATAATTAAACCCTCATGTACAGTCCTAGTGAAAGACGTTTTCTTGTTGGGAGGAAAGTACTTTTATTTACAATTGTGTTCTATTATAAAGAAACAGTTGTTGCACACACGTAGTTATGTTTCCAATTGTCTGAATCTTGAATACCCAAAGTGTGAATTTTTTACGGATTTTTGTTTCTGGTTCCATTCAATAGGTAACGCCACATTGCATTTATTATTTCGGTTACATACATAGATCGATACATTTATACACGCTACGTCGATTATAGTAAGATATAGATTTACTAACTCAAAGTTTAGCGTACAAAAGAAAAACGCATAATTTGTCACTATAATACTCTCTAGTTTTATCTTATCACAGCGACATCATCAAAAAATACATAATGCGATACAGTATTTTACTTACACAGGCAGCACACACCATATCCTCCCGCGCATATACCCTCAGCACGACCTCCTCGTGAAATACACTCTGAACTAGAGAAACAGATTCCAGTTCGGTTGATGCTGCTTGTATTACAAGCATCGTTTTCAAACACAGCGAGTGTAAAAATACTAAGAACTGTAGAAAATAATAATTCATCAATATTTAATGTAATTATATTCCCCTTTAAAACTGTTTGTAACGTAAATACCTCATGAATATTTATACACAATTAGTATGAATTATTACGAATTATAAATTTTAAAATAATTCATAAAAACTAAATATATCCAGAGAGAGAGAGAGATGCTGATGTCGGTATTTTCGAAGTTCAATGGAGTTATTATGTTTATATTGTAGAGACATAAGGAAAAATATGATTTCAAAATACGATATGACAGAAATGAATCATATTTACTTTTGGTCATAATGTAAAGTTTAAAGTATACTGCAGAAAATTGTCTCCACGTCTTCGACTTGCAAACTTCATCACCAAATGAAATTACATCTGAGTGTGGTGGTAGTTAATTGGAGGAACTACGAATCTGCTCTATTGGATACTGACTTTTATTGGTGGTCAACTGTCGTAGCAAGTGTTGCATAATGTAAACTGTTTTTTTTCTTCTTCTAAACTCTGTCTTGTAATGCTTAAATACAGTAATGTTAAGCAGATATAATCTGTACATTTATTAAAAGAAATATTTTTCTTTTGAAACTTTTATACTAAATATGTTACTGACAAAGAAACAAGTTGTCTAAAAGTGAACGATTTTTTCTTTGCCAATGGCTTGAATTTTACTGAAATTGCTTACAACAAAACAAAATATAACAGGTTTTATGTAAAATAAATCAAGGATTGTCGGTAAACTTACATTTTCCGTCTCGACCTCTGCTGCTGGTATTATAAGCATTCAAGGATTTATTGAAATAGGAGTCGCGATTTGCTGATTCTCTGGCTTCCGCTAGGTGTCCTGTTAGCGTTGAAACTACTGCATATAAGATGAGAGTTATACAAAGTTTCGATAGCATTGTGAACTCAACTTGGTTTCCCATTACAGTCGTAGTTGTTGAGGTCCTAGTTGCACAATATTATTTCAAATACTAAACAAAGCAGAGAAAAAAGTGTATTGTTATGCAGGCTGCGAGAACATTCATGAAAAAAACTATCAGAAACCAGTACGTACTGAAATGTAGTAAGTCTAACTAGAGGGAAAATAACCCTGTGACAAGATAAAGACTAACTAAGCAGCTTTTTTTTGGGTGTGGATATCTTGAAAAGCATATTTGCAATAGCACCTTCAGTTTAAGTAACATTCATAACTAAAGACTATTTTTAATGCATACATGAACTGATATCAGTAACTATTTCAAATTGTACTATAGACAACTGAATAGTTTTCCTAAGATTCCTTTTAGTCTAGTGTTCTGCTTTTTGGGAAACATTAAAACATTTGGTGTATTTAATTCTATTTTTTCATCCAGGGTATCACTTTAGGTTCTGTTTTGCATTCAAGATTTTTTTGTTTTTTTTTGTTGTTGTTGTTTCCCGAGAATTCAGTGTCAGTACAAACAAGAACAAGAGAAAAAAAAGAGCCAAGTAAAACTTAACCAATTTGGACCTATGTTGCGACTTTCAGTTTATATTTAATTTATGTTGTTAGTGGGCAAATACAGTTCCGAATGTATCACGTTTTAATATCATTTTGGTCGTAATTTAAGGTTCAAACTATATTACAGAGAGATATTTCTACCTCTTCTGCTTACAAACATCATAGTGGAATGAAACCACGCCTCAATGTGATGGGAATGGCTTGAAGGAACTCAAATTCTGATCAATTGGGCACTGACTTTCATTGGTAGCGAACTATCATAGCCAGTATTACACAAGGTTAATTGTTTTTTCTAAAGTCTGTCTTCAGAAAAGTTACAGTTTGAGTACGTCGCCTGAAGCAACTCTACTCTTACAAAAACTTAGTAACATTCTTCTTCACTCAATTACTCTTTTGGTCACTATTTATCGATCTCACTGATACTTGACCTAAAGGATAGAACTTTCAGATACGAAAATTCCAAGGCATATACATTACAGTGGGAGTTATGAGTTTTCGTATTTTTGTGTTAAATTGATTTCTTGAACCTACGTGTTTTCCTGGTATCATGAATGTATCTCTTTGTAAGGAACATGGATACGATTCAGGTAAATACGTGCATACCCCTCTATTTCCTACGTTAGGTATATTAGACGACTCTAAACGAATACTTAACATTTTTTAATGGACACCGAATCCTTTCAAAATCCAACAGTGCAACTAAAGTACATGATGCCATAGCTGTGATCATTTCTCTTCTTGAATCTATACAATTTTTGATCATTACTTTTGGTACTAATGATCTGAAACCAACCGATAATTCTGCTGAATACTGCTTTTCAGATATTTAACTTTAGTCTCTGATCACACTTTAAACTTGCTATCTTTAGTGTAATCCATAGACATGTAAACAGACACTTTTTATCTGATGACTTCAACACGCAAAGCAGCACGCAACTCGACAACAAAATTCAGCATTTTAAACGAACTAACCCAAAACCTTTACATACTCAACCCCCAATTTGTCTTCATTAATCACACAAACCTAAAACCAATCCTCAATTTTATCGCGCGTGCTGGACTTCATCTCAATATTTCTGGTATCTTTACCTTGATTTCAAACTTAAAATACTTTATTTCTTGCTGTATTCTCCCAGTCTTTTCTTCCTCCTCCAAGTCACCCCAACATTCTATCTTTGCTGTTACTAACAGTTTTTCTTATCTAAACTCTACATCTACTTCTATCTTGACCGTATCAACGTATCCCCCTTCTAGTACCTCTGTTACTCAATCTTTTCCATGTAACAACTCGTTCACTTTCTCACGGGTTCTTCCTTTCGTTCTGCTAACAAACTCAACCCAATTAACCCTTTTCCAACCAACAACAAGTTCCATCATTTAATTCTTCTTATGCTTCTGTTGTTCGTTCTTCTTTAATCACAAACCATTCACCTTCCACTTCCTTGTCTTCAAAAGTACACAAAACCAACGCCAGTGTAACTACTGCATATTCTACACTACAATATTCGCCATCCAACTGTTCACTCACTTCTTCTGCAGAGTTTCCTTCATCTTAGTCCTTCTTCTTATAGCATCAGCTTTCATAATGATCTTTAACCTACATTCTATGCTTCGTCACTTCGTCACACTCTGAAGAAGACAGCAACTCCTCTCTTCTTTCTCTTGAACTCCCCCCCCCTTCCAGCGTCATTCTCGCTCCAGTATCTGACAATACTCAAACTAAAGCACGATGCGAGCCTTTTAACTACAGTAGAAAAGAACATTTCCAGAAACTGAAAAACGCACCAGATACCATCAACATAAGGTTATAGAGTTTCATGTATATAAAAACATATATCTATGAATCATCGTTTACCAATTTTAATTAATAATATAAAAATACTTCAAAGTTTTACAATAAGTTATAATTCTGATTTGATATATGCTAACATAGCATACGAAACATTTGTCAATGAATAAACTAGGAATCGGGAGAAGAAAATGTTAAATTTCTATTTATTTAACTAAAACCAACTATCAGACATTTTGAACGAAATATCTTTATTAAGCTATCAATCTTAAGAATTTAAATGCATTGATTTGCAGCATCTATGGCTCAGCCTAAGATACATATTTTTATTTTAGCCGCATATATAAATATATAAATAATATCTAGCTCCTTTCTATCCTTTAATAACTGTAAACAAATAATTTAGACTTTTCATGTCTGACTTCCACCTATTTCGAATTAACAAAAATAAAATAAATAATATTTGAAATATCTAATTTTGATTCCCTTCTTATCAAAATGTTATAACGTAACACAGGCAAAAGAGCCCCCCCCCCATTGTATGTCTGCGGACTTACAAAGCTAGAAACCGGGTTTCGATACCCATGGTGTGCAGAGCACAGACAGCCCATTGTGTAACTTTGTGCTTAACTTCCGACAAACAAGACAGGGAAGTCAATTTATTATGTAGAAAACGCAATGTTGACTGAATAATTTCCACACCTTTACCTACTACAGAAGTTTTACGTTGTATATCTACGAATCAGAAACTTCTTCTGTCACTTGATCTTACAAATCTTCTGCGAGCCAAATCTAAATTATTATTTGGCAAAACGTCCGCGTGTGTTTTCCTTTATAGCTGGCGAACTGCTGAACCGATGGTATTGTTGCGTCATTGAGGTCACGTGACTGGTGTGGCGCCACCTATTTTCTAGAACTATCCTGTACCTTGGCGAATGCTCTAGCATTTACTAGATATAGGTTAGTCTGGTATATAGAAGAGGGTGACAACGTGACGGGACAATAATGTAATGTGTGTGTAGATAGTGAGTAATTGAACTCCTGTCAGAAGTATTGTTGACGTACGTTGATATAGCGTTTGTTATAGAGCGACTGTTGAAAATAAGTGTATCGTAAAGTTATATTCGGAAAGAATAAACCAGTTTTATTAAGAAAGGACTTGTGTCGCTTAAGTTTCGTCGGAACGAAGTTACGGAAAGTTAATTAACAAACGGAGACGTAACAGTATATATCTTTAGAGTTTCCAGAAAAGTAACAAGAGGGGTCTTGGTTCAGATGTGACCTATCTAAGTCATCCTCCTGGATGCCCCTATTACTTCCCCGTGCGTAAGACGGTAAATCTGGCAGTATTACATATATTCTCGAAGATATGATCTGACAGTATTACATATATCCTCGAAGATATGATCTGGCAGTATTACATATATCCTCGAAGATATGATCTGGCAGTATTACATATATCCTCGAAGATATGATTTTCCACAATTTTAGGTGAGTATGATATTAATTACTACTTGTAAAAAGCCTTAGGATCAGAGTTATTACTTTTAACCAAGAGAAAAATATATTGAACTGTAAAATCATCATATTATGAATAATCTTATTCCACAGCTTCAAAAGCTCATTCTCGAAGCTACTTTTTCCTTTATTTTTAGAAATAACTAGTTTAGATTTCGTTAAACAACTTTCCACACTATTGTGTTAACATTTCTTTACGCGAAACTGATGGTAGAAACCTCGGAACAAAACCAGAGACTGAAACGATACCTCAGTATGTAAATAAAGCAAAATTTTCTCGAAACTAGAACGAGGCCTCATACCATGTTTACAATGTTTCATTAAAACTTACACCATCCAGTTAAAATATTTAACAAATTATGTAGTTATAGGAATGAACGTCTTTCTCAAACCTCCACAGGGAAGTTAAAATGCTTGTTAATATACGATTTACTTCACAGTTACGTAAATCGTTTAACATCAAGACTGTTCAACGTATTAATTAAACTGCTACTTTTTTCAAGAAAGACGACAAAAAAAAATGTTTTTTATTCTACCCGACGTTTCGGCTTACGAATGTCTTTGAACATTTTGTAACCAGTGACGTTCAAAGACCCTTGAAAAGACGTAAGCCGAAATGTCTGGTAGAATAAAAAACAACCATCTGAAGTTGTTTGTTGTCTTTTTTTCACGGTTTCTATCCTTCAATCACGACTGAAAACTTTAAGATATTCCTAACTTCTACGTTTTCTGGTAATATACATTTCAAAATTATTATTTGTTTAATTTCTTAGTTTATTAAAGTAATGTTCCCGTTTTTTCCCACAATTCAACGAGTTTTCCTAATAACAACCTTAAAACATAAACTGTTCCAGTGATATTATTGTCCATATTACATTCAAAATTCAAACTGAACCTCACCTAGTTATTTTAACTTAGAAGCCCGTGTACTTTATTGTGCCTCTGATACTTAAGTATTATAATTTGCTCCTTTACCATAAATGAGGAAATGACGTAGTCAGTAATCTTTATATAATGACCAAATGAGCCTTTTATAAGGAGATGCAATTAATTAACATTCATTTCCGATCAGAGTGAGCTACCTAAAACATCAAACTGGTAACGAACACAGGTAATTAAGTATACGTTCTTACTTATAAATGCATTATTTCATAAGTTGGGTACTCTCGTTGCTAATGGTATTTCTGGCCGTAATCCCAATAATATATCATGAGGTTCAGCCATCTAAGGAGATTTAGGCTAGTCCTAAATACATATATTAATCTAACAATACAAAACAATCTACTTGTGACTTTAAAAATCGGGTTTCGCTGCCAGTGGTGAACACGGTACGGATAGTTCATTGTGTAGCTTTGCACTTAACAACAAACAAACAAACAAAACAAAACAATCTTTACAATAAAAGTATAATTACAAAAATAAAATCGAAAAATAATAAAACTAGATACATTAATCATTCTAAGCAAAATTGTTAATTAAAGTAACAATAAAGAAATAATACAGAACACCTTACTTATGGAACACAGAAGCTGTTGGCTTTGTGTACTGCCGTATAATTAATTTTAGTTGATCAGTGTAACTTCAGTATAACTAAGTTGAGCTTTCTACAACAACAGTTTATGTTAGAAGGTTATCTGAAGCACTATAGTCTTTAAAAGTAAAACTAATAACTACTCTGGTCATCGTAACCTTTGTTATTTCCTTACTAGGCTCTTCAAAACGAATCACATAAGATAAAGTGTATATATGTTCTTCCAATCACAGTGAATTTACTTTGAAACTGAGTCTTGCAAATCCTCGACTTTAAAAATCCAATAGCTAGAACGCTTTTTAAATGTAGAATTTTCACAATTAATGATGAAGTAAAATTTATAAAACACTTACAGCCAAACTGACTTCCCTCGACAACTGATGAAGTTGGTGATGCCAACGGTCAACGTGTTTGACTTTGCTAATTTGGTGGGTCTAATAGACTTACAGAGCTTTCCAAGATTTAAGAAACGAAAGCAGAATCGACTGGATATTTTGGATAACACAGTGACATATACTCTCAACGCAGCGACATATACTCTCAACACAGCGACATATACTCTTACCAGTATATTCAAACTTTTCCGAACTCAAGTTAATGTTACAAAATCCTGAAAAATTAATGTTTCAGACCTTCAGAACAAAATAAGGTGCCTATAAAAACTGCCTTTGTTTTTATACAAATGCTTGACTGAAGATGTAATTAAAACAGTGGAAATCTTCACTCGCCCACGGTAAAAATACAGATATGTTTGTCCATGTAACAAACGCGGGCGTTGTTTGTTTTCTAAAGCTGCATATCTAAATACTCTACTGACATTTGTATAACGCTATTATTTATCATAGTGACCTAGAGTTCTTTGGGGATTAAACTCGAAAGACGTTGATACTTCTGGAGCGTAAAATTGAGTTTTCTCGTGTCATTGGGCAAAGCGAACAACCAAGGAAAAAAAAAGGTGGGTATGGGCGAATGTCTTCGCTTATTAAACAATATGACCTCCCTTTTGTCAACAGTCCAAATCGGTCATCTCTAGCGCCCTCTATTGAACATGTAGAGACACGAAACAAAGTATAGAGAAGGAAAACAACAAAGCTTTAATTTAACGGCTATCATGTCAAAGAAATCTGAAAGATTTACTAATATTTACGGCAAAAGTTGTTGTTTGTTATTAAACATAAACCCGGTTTCTAGCGTTGTAAGTCTGCAGACATACCATTGTGCCACTGGGGGATATGGCAAAAGAAATTCAAGTATGTATGTTATATATATGTGTATGTATGTATGTATATTATATATATGTATGTATGTTATATACATATGTATGTATGTATGTGTATATTATATATATGTATGTATGTATGTATATTATATATATGTATGTATGTATGTATATTATATATATGTATGTATGTTATATACATATGTATGTATGTGTGTATATTATATATATGTATGTATGTATGTATATTATATATATGTATGTATGTATGTATATTATATATATGTATGTATGTATGTATGTTATATATATGTATATGTGAATCATATTAGGACTTCTTCTCAAGCCCCTGTATTGTTACTGTGTTGAAGAATGGCTTTCAAGACAAGAACATTTTTTGTGTTTGGTATCAGATACATTTCAGTGTTTGTATATTGTCTGATAATAAACTAACGCTACTGGTGATATAGTGTAGTATGACATGTTTTGTCTGATGATTCACTCGACTAACGATATGATGATATCTGGTAATGTAATATCTGTGTATTGTATGATGATATATTTAACTAACATAAGCGCCTTTCATCGTGTATTATGATACTAGTGTATTGTTTGATATATATATACAAAACTATCTGTTTTTAATGCTGCTATCGAGTTGTGTATTGTTGTATATAGCCTAATGAACCACCTAACTAATATTACTAGCTATCAATGCTATGATCTTGTACTATGATACTTGTGTATTACCTGATAATACACAAAACTAATACCACTAGCTTTTAGTGCAAATATCATAATTTTTATACATATTAATTTTAAGCGTGCTACTTCAGGTTGCAACTGTGAGAATAATTTTAAAATGGAACTTACAGGTCTTTACTTGGTTGAACATTACTCAGGTGGCCTTAAACCAAATTAGAAGGTTGTTAGTTGTGGAATAAGCATAACTAATAAGAAGTAGTTCAGTTGCTCTGAATTTTAAAGGTGTTAAACCTGTAAGAGAGAAAGTGAATGATGCGTAAAGCCAGAATTAATAAATTATACCATTGTAAGAATGAAAGTTTAAATTACTAGTATAGCTTTTCCAAAAAGCTGAAAGAATCCACTGAACATCTTGGTATATTCCCTTCTCGACACTAACGTTTCACTCAACCATAGAAGAAAAGATAACAGCAACGGAGATGCAAGGATAAATACAGATTTTAAACAACTGGACAAAAACAACGAAGCGTCCACCTATGAAAGAAGGCAGAATACTGTATTTATTCAACCATTCTTCTCTCTATTCGAGCCAAATGTACTAGATACATAGGTTTGCTTGTTTGAAGTTAAGCACAAAGCTACACAATGGGATATCTGTGCTCTGCCCACCACGGGTATCGAAACTCGGTTTTTAGCGTTGTAAATCCGCAGACATACTGCTGTGCCACTGAGGGGCAGATACATAGGAACTGGGAGTCCTACTTCGTGTGTTTGTTTGTTAGTTTTGAATATCGCGCAAAGCTACACGAGGGCTAGCTGCGCTAGCCGTCCCTAATTTAGCAGTGTAAGACTAGGGGGAAGGCAGCTAGTCATCACCACCCACCGCCAACTCTTGGGCTACTCTTTTACCAACGAATAGTGGGATTAACCGTCACATTACAACGCCCCCACGGCTGAAAGGGCGAGCATGTTTGATGGGAAGGGGATTCGAACCCGCGACCCTCAGATTGCGAGTCGAGCGCCCTAACCACCTGGCTGTGCCGGCCCGAGTCCTACATTACGGACGTGGATTTCAAGAACGTATCCTAGAGTAGGGATTCGCACACCTTTCGTGAAGTGACTCTTTGCTCAGAAAAACCACATTCATCAAAATCCTGTATTTTTTATAAAATCTAAGAAACTGTCTCAATAATAATAATAATAATTCTTTCTTGGATGAGGTTACAGCAACACGTTTAATTTAATTACTAAATTATAAAGATTCTGTTAGTTGGCTGAGGAACATTTTTAATGCAAGCTGTGAGCTTATTTTATCGAGCATAGCTTATCCAAGTGTGGTTCTAGACTTTTAAGGATGAGATAAAGCACTAGCATATGGATTCCGTGCCCCTATTCTATTTAACAATGCTCCGAATCCCAAGTTGGTGTCTTGAAAAATTAGACTAGAAAACCATTATCGATGTCATACTGAAAAGCCAAAAATTTATATTATGTTGTACATCATTGTATTATGTGTTCTGAAAAATGTTGAAATACCTAATTATTCTCGGGAAGGAGAGAGGGGGGAGGGACTATGGGCCCGAGTCCCGAATCATTCAAGCATCTAACGATGCTTATGAGGATGAGTCTAGCGAATTACCTGAAAAGCTCAAGAAACTTCATCGCTAGTTGAATTTGAAAAACGAAAAATGGTATTACACATAAAGAATAATGTTAATTTATTCCTTATTTACTAACTAACTAAAATCATTCACATGGAAATTAATTATACTATCTCTATGTACTATAACAAACAAGTAGAAAATTATTTTACGAACCGTGATCGTCTAGTGGTTAGGACATTGTGTTGTGGCGAGACGTGTTTTTGAACGGCTCTCTCACTTAGAAAAGCGACTGGCGCTTGTTGAATTTTTTCGTTTTTATTTTTTCGAGTGTGGAAGTTACTGGACCTATCTACTATGTCCTGTGATTCTGCTGATGTTAAAGCTGACAAGTATAGTTCTTTAGATGTTATGAAGCAGACTGTGTTTGTGGATCTACCTAATATAAATCAAGGTGAGGTAATACAACCTGTTATTTCTCAGTTTGGTGCTGCTTTGGTTATATCTATTGTCCCTCGTTCTGGGGGCTATGAATTTACATTTGTTTTAAATGATAATGTAGATTATGTGGTGGATTCTGGATTGACTATTAATGATGAAAACTATGTGGCGCAAGGGGTGTTTAACCGTACGTTGACGGTTTCTTTTTTTCGGCCTTCCTGAATATGTTACTGATGCGAGTATTATTTCCAAGTTGAATGAATTTGACTTTGAGTGTAATGTTAAAAGTATTATCGTATTGTTACGTATCTGCTTGTTTGTTAATTCCCTGTAGAAATTCTTTCCGAGGAACTTCAGTGATACAAGTTCTTTCTTGATTAAACCAGTTTATTCTTTCTCGGTTCAAACTTTTAGTACATGGTAGTTCCACGGTAGTGTGTGTTTTGCAGTCGTATAGAGTGAAGTTATCGAGCTTGTGAATTGCTGGAAATTCCGTGTATTACAAAGTTGTATCTAGAAAGAATAAACTAGTTTTAATTAAGAAAGGACTTGTATCGCTGAAGTTCCTCGGAATGAATTTATACCAGAAATTAACAAACAAGCAGAGACGTAACAATATTTTAGCACCAATGAATATATCTTCTTTATACTAAAATTTAAAAGAAATATATTTATATGTATTTCTGTTGCTATTATTTCCTATATAAACACAAAATACATATTTTAGTTGGTATTTAACCTATAAATATTTCTTCACACACTACAAACACATATCATACTTCAATTTTTTTTTAGTTTTCCCCTTACTATCAATCTGTTAAAGCAAAATAAGATTTTTCTCTGAATGAAATCGAATGCTAAATGTGTATATTTGCTTATTTGTGCCAATTTAGAAAGCATAAATCAACAGTATCCGGTCATGTGACTTCTTTGTTCAATACTGTATATATATATATCCGTGTCAGTGTAAATTACTTGTACCTGATGATGACAAAACCTTGTCGAAACGTTGTACATTTGCTGTTATATTAAAGTTTTTCTTCATTACCCAATCAAGCCGCTTCCAACCGTAATTATAAACACCATTTTAATAATATAAAAATTCCAATATGCATTTTACGTTTGTACTTGTAGAACAGTAAATGCTCAAGTTATCGTGTCATTTTCTATTCTCTACATCTAATTTGTATCTATTATTTTATAGTTATTAGATTTTACATGTTGTTTGTAGTTAAGCACATAGCTACAGAATGGGCTGTCTGTGCTCTGCCCATCACGAGTATCGAAAGCCGGTTTTCTAGCGTTGTAAGTCTGCAGACATATCGCTGTGACACTGGGGGACATTAACTTTTATGAACAGATTATCTGAAGCTGCTATTTTTGTGCCTAAGATTATTGAATATTAGTTATAATGAAATAATATATTTAGTGATGTGTAATGCCTATGTTGAAATTTTAATTTACCATTTCCAATAAGTTACAGTGAATTATAATCATAACTAACACTTTGAAATTTGGTTTAATATGTAGAGTTTAGTTTTTACCTTTCGTATCTATAAAATAATATTTAAACATTGAGAAAAATTCAATATTTATATAGAAGTCTTACAAATAATTGTGTCTTTTTCAGCACAAAACTACACGAAGATCCGAACACCGGATTTTAGCATTGTAAGTCTGTAAACTTATCGTTAACCCACATTTATTACATTGTGTTTGAAGGTTTATTGTAATTTATGTTAACAATAATTGTTTTCGTGAATATTAAAATATGGTCGAGTATTCACCATTGTCTGTACAGGGATATCCAAAACTGTCTTTGAACTTCCTTATGAAGTGAAGAGCTACTTATATTTAGGGTAAAGAGGCAGTTGCACAATGCAGTAAGACTATGGGTGTGTAAGTTTTAAACAATAC